GCCAAGCCTCACCCGACAGTCCCCTCTCCCTCTCCTGTCGCCGCCTCACCGACGACCCCAGATCCGAGCTCAGTCCCACCACTGTTCGTCGCCGCCGCTCGAACCTCGTCGCCGCTCGCCGTCGAGCAGCCGCCTCCGCCAGCAGCGAGCCGCTGCCCCGTCGTTCCCCGTCGACGTCAAATCGTTCGACAAAAACCCCGAGGCAAGATCCCGATACTCTCCTGATTTGTCATTCAATTCTTAGATCCGCTCTGAATTAATTAATTACTTGCAAGATCTCGATACTCTTTTGACTTGATATTCAATTCTTAGATCCGCTCTGAATTAATTAATTACTTGCAAGATCTCGATACTCTTTTGACTTGATATTCAATTCTTAGATCCGCTCTGAATTAATCAGCTGCTTGCAAGATCCCTATTCTTGCTCAGTATAATTTTAGATTGATCACAAATTTATTTTGCATACGAACTCGTTACCCAAATAATTATTCGTTACAAATACGGAACTGTCGTGAACATATTGGACTGAGAACTATAACGTATAGAACTGATGAGAACGAAATGGACTGTGGACAATAACGTATGACCACTCATATTGTAATACATATACTGTGATGACTTGCACGGATTTATTTGACTAATGATATTAAAAATAATATTTTGATAATTTTTAAGGATTTATTTGACAAAATAATCATTTTGAAATAATTATAATAAATTATTTTGGTGAAAAATCATTTTAGAGTAATTATAATAAAACAATAGAATTTATTTGACAAAAGAATTATTTTAGAATAATTATAATTTAAAAGAAATTATAAGTATCAATTTAGAATAATTTCAGTAATTTAAGAAAGTTTTATAATAATTATTATTTTGGTGAAAAATCATTTTAGAGTAATTATAATAAAACAATAGAATTTATTTGACAAAAGAATTATTTTAGAATAATTATAATTTAAAAGAAATTATAAGTATCAATTTAGAATAATTTCAGTAATTTAAGAAAGTTTTATAAAAGAATTATTTAGAACATTTATAAATATTTTTAGGATTTATTTTATAAAAGGAATTATTTAGAACATTTATAAATATCTTTTAAAAGAGTTATTTTAGAAAAGGGATTATTATGAATTTTTCATAATTTATGTTTCTTAATTTTAATTATGTGATATGTTATGATCTTGCTGTATATGATTAGTTGTGTTTATTACTCTTTGATATGCTTGAGAACCGTTAGAAAACCATGACTAGTGTGGCCTAGTGTGTCCGGTTTAAGACTTAGAAACCTGTGCATATGTTAGCTTAGAAAAACAAGAGAGTTGGGATGGGGAAGTTAGTGTTCATGTGATCGGATAAGACTGTTGATGTATCTTCCAGGCTCGCACCAGTGAATTCGTGTAGTCACTGGGGTTGGTTTGTTGGGCTAAAGTGAGTTTGTTGGGCCAAGTGAACCGTTTCGCACTTGGTCAGTGAAATCGTTTCGTCACCCGAGTTTTGCTTGAGTTTGAACCAGGCCGAAATCGGATTGCGTGTAGTCCTCTGACCGATTCGTGTAGCGGTATTGGATGCGCGTAGGGGATTTGTGAACAGTCAGTTATCCGGTGATATGAGCGTTGGCTCTGTGTGAGATGTGACCAGTGACCTGTTATACAATGGCTAGTAGTATGATCTCGTTACTTGGATGATTAGTCTGATCATTAGCTACATAACCTCGTTACCCGATTGGTTTTGGATTCTTCTGATTATTATATTCTAGTGGTGGATTTCATTTAGATTATTACTATTGTTATTATTATTGTTCTTGCATTGGTCGTACGACCGTTCTTTTCTCCCTTTTGGGATCTTGCCGTGTGCCTTGCACCCTGACGTACACCTGTTTCCTCTGGTGTATGTCAGATTTAGATGATGGACAGCTTCAGTTCGGAGTCGTACAGGAGCCAGATGATTCCCGCAGGAGTGCTCTATAGACCGAGCAGAAGAAGCCGAAGCTTAGTTATTGGTCCTCCATTTTACTTATGTAGTACCTTATCCTTTAGTCTTTCGACGGGCTTAGTTAATTTGCAGTACTATCTTCTTATTTTGTCAGACTATGTATTTTCTTATTCTAGTTGAACTGTTTTGTAATAAGGGCATGTTTGACCCAAACTTTGTGTCTAGGATGATATTCTATTTGTGATATGTCACTTTTCTATTCTGAGTTGTTTATTATATTCTCGCTACTGTGATCGGGGACCTGTGCCTTCGTTTGTATTTCTTGACGCTTAGCGTATTAGATTGAGAAGAAGGGGTCTAGCACTTATCTCTTCTCAGTTAATACGTTGCGGGCTTGCTCGCGTCCCGATTCCCTGGTATTTTGGGAAGCGGGGCGTGACAGGTACCCTACCTGCATTTTCCAAAAAAAAAAGGATAGAAATTAAGAAAGTTACTTGCAGCGTGAGAACGACCGTGATTAGATGAGTGCAAACATATTTGTGTGTGAATAATTATGTTGAAGGTTGAACTAGAGATTTGTATATAAAATGACCTACTTAGAAGATCTTTCTTGCATTTTTAATTTTTAAATATTACCTTTTACTTTGGTCTTTAAAAAAGTATACATGACTGGTTTTTATTTTTGATTTTTAATAGATTTCATTTTAATATTTATTGACCAAAATCGACCTTATATAAATTTATGTACAAAAATCGACCTAGTTTCTACGATTTCAGCACCGTTAGCTAGAAGTGGGTCGCTTTTAAAAAAACATAGTTTACTAATTAGTCAGGATTCACAATCCCGCTTGATTAGTAGCATTGGTTAGTAACCACGGCTATTTTTAGCTAAGTTCTAAATAGTTGTGGTTGCCAACCATGAGTATTTTGAACTACGATCCATTAATTAGGCAGTATTAACAATCTCATCTAATTAGTAATTTTTTTTAAATCGATCAAGTTTTAACCAACAATACTATTATCGTGCTTGAAACTGTGTTATTTTTTGTAAATAAAATTGAAGTAAGTTGATTTTTGTGAATAAATATTATAAGGAGTCTATTTCAAAAACTTATCCTTTCATTTTACAATTTTAATCCTAAAGTTTAGTGATGTGGGTCCAATGTTAAAGGCTGTGGATCCGGTGAGGTAAGCTCCAGTCTAAAATTGTGTGGATCCAATCCTAATTCTTATCCTACACATAAAGAATATAGGAAACAAAAAAAAACTTGTTTTGCATAATAATCTTTTGTCCTTACAAAAATGACTAGGAGGAGAACCGGGCCGGGCAAATTTTATAAAAACTCATATCTACACTTGTATTCAGCAATTTTAACATTACTGATAATATCTACATGCGTAAACTTGAGAAGGAAATAGTAATAATAATGAACAAATCTTAGGATCACCTGTGCAGTTACGATGAGTGATATCATGATCACCCATATAAATACGCAGATTTACCGTAGCTCAATGTAATTGAATGTAATTAATCCTTTCAATTTATTTCTCGTGATGTGGGAGAGAAGTAAATGATTTTCTCAAATTCCAGAACTATTCAATTAAGCTCTACTAGATTACGATACCAATTTTCTCTCTAACCCTTCGAACATACTTGTATCACATCGCATTGTTTATTAGCTCGTGGGTAACGTTACATTATTTTAGTCATCACATGTCATAGCCCATTTCAAGTCGTGGCTCCATTTTTTTTATTTTTTTTCCATTGCAACAGACTCCCAACACACACGAAAACCTCTGTTATAAATCTACCAAGCCTCACCCAAACTTCTTATTCAAATCACAAGGAAAGAAATTAACAATGGGATCCGATGCACCCTCGACCACCAAACTCCCCAAGATCGACTTCTCCGGCGTCGACACGGGTAGTATGGGATCCGATGCACCCTCGACCACCAAACTCCCCAAGATCGACTTCTCCGGCGTCGACACGGGTAGTACGGGGGCCGGAGCGTGGTCCGTGGTCCGGGATGAAGTGATGGAGGCCTTGACAACGTACGGATGCTTTGAGGCAGTGTACCCCAAGCTTAGTACTGAGCTACGTAGCTCAGTCTTGGATAGTTTGATCAAGGATTTGTTTAGACTCCCGTTAGAGACTAAGCTTAGGAATTATTCGGACAAGGGGGGGGGGTTTTTGAAATCTGAATATTTGCTAATTTATGGATAACCTTCTTTAATATTGAGTTGATATACCCCCTCTCAATTAGCACCATTAAATTTTGAACTGAGGAAGGTGTTATGACAAATACCTAGGTTAAACTAATATCAATCACACGAAAGCACGAAAAATATCAAGATCACGTGAACACAAAAATATACGTGGTTCGACTTGTTGCCTAAGTCGATGCCCACGAGCGAAGGAGGAGAATAGCTTTACTAAATTATGAGGAATACAAAGTGGATTCTCTCAATCACTTAATCCCAAATAACACCCCAATAGTCTCAATCAATCTCTCTCTCAATCTCTAATTAATTAGAGCAACAAATAGAGAGCTACCGAAAAGCCAAATTATCTCTTGCGGCTTCAAAGGAGAACATTATTTTTTGTTTTGATGTATTGATCTCGAAAATGTTCTCTGCTCTATTTATTCACAACTACTCCGTATATGAAGTTGGATAGGAATCCTTTTGTTACTTCATGAACTTGCTATCTCAACTAATTCCAAAAGCCTTTATCTCCCTTAGTTCTCATCCAAGGAGAATTCGAATAATAACACACCCATGTGCATGGATTGCTATTTTGACGTGGGAGCAAAGATGCTTTAGGATAGTATACTGATTTTAGAATTCTAATAACCAACAACTTAATATTAACTAATCCAAGCTTCGTACGACATTAATTAGCTACGCTAATAAGTCTCGGCCATTCAAGCAGGCCAATCAAAGAACTGGGTTCGAGATTAGTAATTTGAGTCACAATATAACATAAGGATTAAAATTGATGATGAATGTACCCCCTGTCCCTTCAAAAATATTTTTTAGGTTATATACACAAATCTGCTCATTGTCAATTCAACACCATGAATTTTAGCCGTCTTAAACAGCAGGGGGTATAAATTACCTATAATATGCATATTTGGAGGGCAAATCTATAAGAAGGATACAACTGGAGCATATAGGCAAAAGAGTAGTGACGAGTATTGTACTACAAAACTTACACAACTTTTCTACTCCCGTAAACAAAAAAAATTTAGAGCCCATGATGACTCAAAATTTTTCTTGATAGTTTCTGAGAAAGAATCCTACACATTTGTTAGTAATAGTACAATAATAGTATAAAACTTGTAGCACAATTATTATTTTTCTATAGGCAAAAACCTCTTTTTGGTTCAACTGCAAGGGGTAGCCTCACTTATTCTTTAGTACCATTTATTAGCGCTCAACTTGTTTATTAGCATTTATTATCTCTTAATTCGATAGGACTAGGAAATTACCTATAGTTATCCTTAAAATATGCCAACCTCAAGCAGGATCGTAAGTGCTAATATATAAGCTAAGGGGCTGTTTGGTTCGTTTTTTAACTCGGTGGAAAAGTTTTACACCGCCTCCACATCAGATTTTTTGGTTCGTTTTTTAACTCGGTGGAAAAGTTTTACACCGCCTCCACATCAGATTTTTCGTGGCCACGTAGGATATAGTTTTACACCGCCTCCACATCAGATTTTTCGTGGCCACGTAGGATATAAGCTTTCCGTCGGTTTTTTTTTTCCATTTTTGGTTCGCTAGGGTTGAAGAAGGAAAACTCGGTGAAAATCGTCGCCACATCAGATTTTTTTCTCTCCCCCAATTCCTTCCTCAACCTCGTGAAATCGACGAAAACTGCAGCTACGTCGGCTTTTTGCCATATAAACAAAAATTTTTCTTTTTTTTCCATGCGAACCAAATATAAGAAAAATAAATACATTGGTTTCTCACCATTTTTTTTGAAAGCGAAACAATCTATTTCTTGGAAAAGTTTGGAAAACTTAAAATTTGTGTTTTTGTACGTGAAAATGCATTTCCCTATATCTAGGAAACGAACCAAACAGCCCCTAAGAGAAGAAAAATACTACTGAAGATATAATTAACAACGGACTTTTAGGCCAAATTTTGGTTCTAAAGCGCTTCAGAAATGACCCACCCCCTATCCTGATTTGTAATTAAACCAATTTCAAACTAAACTAGTTTATCCGCTTTGCTAAACTGATCACAAGTTTTCACTTGGATTGCATTTTTTTAATCAAGCAAGCATGTATAACCCATACATACACATCAACATTTTTTTTGCCATTGCTTTCTATAATTTAAATCATGTTTCAGAAAAACTAATATTACATTTTTAATTTTATGTATTCCTATTCGACAGCGAGAAAGTGCACGCTTTCTCAAAACAGTTAGCGGAGCTAGACCAAGCGGTGATAAAGATGGTGTTTGAGAGTATGAACGCGGAGAAATACTACGATTCACAAATGAACTCGACCAAATACTTGCTCAGAGTTTCAGAGTACGGTCCTCAGGGCGAGGAGGAGGAGAAGAAGCTTGGCTTGATTCCTCATCGCGACAAAAACACAACAGCCATAATTTGCCAAAATCAGGTGGATGGGCTGGAAATAGAGACCGAGGATGGGGAATGGTATCCTGCGGTGCCTTCGCCTAACTCTGTCATTGTTATCGCTGGTGATGCCCTTCGGGTATGGTTCTTTTGCACCTTTTCTAGGAGAAAGTATTAAATGGTCTCTTGTCCATAGCATTTAATGCGCTCCAAATAAATGTCAACTGTTGGATCGTTGGACCTCGATATTCGTGCATGGATCCAATGACTAACATATATTTGGTGAACATTAAGTGTCATAGATCTTCTCCACATGATACTTTCTCTTTTTTAATACAAATAGGATTAATTGAAGAAGTTAAACTTTTTTAATTCAGATTTATTAATTTTTTTTCTGACTCTTTTACCAATCTCAAGGTCATAAGTTTCTAACTAGTGTGTTGGAGATAGATGTGCAGCACTGAATTCATTAATATCAGTACTGCAGTCCTTATTCAACCTATCATACAGTAGTAGAAAAACGAGCAACCTAGACGGAAATTTCCGTCTAGGTTGCTCCAAATCCCGTCTAGGTTGGTTCTTCTAGATGAAATTCTGTTTAGTTAGGTCCGTTTATTTTGATTCTGTCTAGATTGGCTCAAACTAGACAGAATTCCGTCTAGGTTGACCAACCTAAACGGATATCAACCTAGACGGAATCAAGATAACCGTCTAGGTTGAAACCTAGACGGAATTCCGTGTAGGTTAATTAACAACCTAGACAAAAATTCCGTCTAGGTTGCTCTGCTATAGTTTTTTTTTTGCAGAATCTACGTTGCACGCTCTATAATAGCCAACAGCAAATCATATTCATATCTAACACAATCTAATTATATTTTAATATCAAATATAATTATGTTCAAATAATACATTCACTAAAATACTAGAGAGATATATAAATTGTTTACATAGATAATAAAGAATACAATTGTTTACATAACTTGATGAACTTTGCATAATTTATAGAATCCAGTTTACATAGATAATAAAGAATACAATTGTTTACATAACTTGATGAACTTTGCATAATTTATAGAATCCAATTGCATTTACTTAACTTGATGAACTTTGCATAATTTATAGAATCCAATTGCATTTACTCCTCCAAGTTGTTGAAGCATCATATTTCTTCAACATGCTCATATTTCTTTCTCATTGATCCTACATTATACAAAATTCAACATCAATTAGTCCATGCCATGAAATACACTTAGAAAGCATTAACAACTTTGCAGAAGAACTAATAGGGAAATCAAAATATTGATTACTGGACTAACAACAACATTGAGAGCAATCCATGTATCATAGTAGACAGTCCATAAATAAATACTCACGAGTACAAAGTTGGGGCTCCAAACGATCAATGGTCAAAGAGAAATCATTGAATATAATGAATGTGAATTTCACCTTAAGTAGGCCTTCAACATGTGCTCTGAAAAAGGGTTTAGAAACAGCCTGAAATACAAAGCAGCATTTTCATTTCGGTTACTATACCTCATTCTGAAACTACAGCTAATCTCTGATGCAAAGAGAACAAATTAATAAAGAAAAACTCAAAATAACAATAGTTGAAAGTAGATTAGGAAAAGGTACTGATTTATTTAACTACAGCTAATCGCTGATGCAATTTACAATTTATTTAACTTTGATTATTGTTTATCATGAAATTAAGGAATTCATAGATCTCAAATAACAAATTCTCTGATCTGCAACAGTCATTCAACCATGTTATGAAACTGATCACACTAATAAGTTGAATCACTATAAACACCCTGAAAAAGAAAATTTCACCAGAATTAAACAATTAAATTTCCAGAAAAATATCTATTTCATGTTAATAATCAATAATTTATAATTACCCAGCACCAAAATGTGCAATCCGCCCTGCAAAAACAACCAAAAACATGAATCAAAACAGGCAAGCCAACTGATGAAAACTCACACTCAGTAAGAAGTTAATAAAGATTACCATAGAGTTCAATAAATCCCGAGGGAACCAGGAAAGAGATTCCCAAGTAAAACAGCCACATTATGACTTTGGCAGGCCATCATTTGGAGTGCCATGAATTTCTAGGATCCTCCAATTTCTTCGTGCCAGCAGTTGAGAGGAACATTACGAAGAAGAATAACTAATTCACTGTTAAAAGATTAACCACTAAAATTGTCCATAAATTGTTCATGTTCTATACAAAATCCTGAACTATATGTCTAAAGATGCATTTAACATATTGCATCAAAATCTAACCACCTTAAATTCAACTTTGATCAATAAGGATACAAAACAGCCCAAACTGATACGAAACAAATCCGCATACACAAATCCGCATACACATATATGTTAAGATATTTTTTTATTAAGTGGGTCCCACCTTTTTGCATTCATCTTTGGCTGCAGCCGTAAAGAAGGAAAAATGAAAAGTAAGGTGGGTCCCACGTTTTTTTAGAAAAACGTGAGCTGCTGAACGAAGAAAATTTTACGCGTGGGCCCCACATGCATACTAAAATATATTATTTTATTAGTGCATAGTATTTTTCCAAATGCTATAAATAGACCTCAAATCCTTAAGGAAAATTCATTCCAAAAACAACAATCAATATATACAGATATATATTGTAGAATAGCTAGTGCTAGTAGGAACAGTGCCTAGACCGAGAAGGTCTTACAGATCGAGGAGATCTTTGCCTGAGGAGATCGAGGAGATCTTTTGTCTGATAGATCAGGAGATCTTTGCCTTACAGATCGAGGAGATCTTGACAGTACTGGGTTGGTGCACACCAGAGTACTGGACTGCTGTTCCTGGAAGCAATTTGGCCTTGGGATCCTTGCACCGGAGTAGGCCAAATAATGCTTTAAGCACAGCGTTTTACAAACGCACAACAGCTGAGTTGAAATTTTAAATCACTGCCCTTCAGTTTTCTGTTCAGATTTTTGCTGTTATATATCTGTATTATTCCAGTTTTAACTACAGGCGCCAACAATATTTATAGCAGATTTCAGTTTACCTTAGATTCTGAGGAAACGGGCTTGTTTTAAGGCACAAGTTGAGTACTGTGTTCCCATCTCCATCAGTTTCTCTGGTGTCAGCTCCTGAGAAGCTGTCCAAATCTCACCTCATTGACAAATTTCTGGACTTGAAGTTCGAAGATGATACTGAGGTTTTTGCCTCAAGTCAAAGAGCTTGAAAAGCTTGTTATGAAGCTGAAGGATGAAAAAATCAGTCTTTGTCAAACCTTCATTTCTGGTGCAATTGTCAACAAGCTTCCTCCATCTTGGATGTCATTCTCCACTGACATTCGGAGAAGGAAAAGACAGGTGACTCTGTCTGATTTGAAGAGGTTCATTCGGATCGAGGATGAGACTCGGACTCGCACGAAGACCGAGCTCATTGCTAAGCAGAAGGCTTCTGCTAACATGGTGGCTGCTAACTCTGAAAAGGGTAATAATTCATCTTTCAAGAAAAAGAAGTCTTTCAACAGAAAGAAGAACCAGAACCCAAAGAACCTGAACGATCAGAAGAAGGAGTTCAAGAGGAGCGGCAAATGCTTCAACTGTGGGAAGCAAGGACATTTTGCCAAAGACTGCAAAGCACCAAAGAAGGAAACAACACACAATGTCAATCAAGTTAATGATTGTGTGGCTATGCTCTTCCAGGTAACAACTCCAAGCAACATCTCTAGTTGGTGGTTAGATACGGGTGCTACTTGTCATGTATGCTCCAATAGAGATATGTTCTCTTCTTATGTTGCTACTAAAGAGAACGTATCAATGGCTGATCGTTCTGTGGTTCCTGTTCTTGGAACTGGGACTGTGGTGCTGACTCTTTCTTCGGGAAAGACTCTCACATTGAAGGATGTGAAACACGTTCCCTCAATTGCCAAAAACTTAGTCTCTGGAAGCATGCTGTGTGATGCAGGCATGAGGCTGGATTTCCAAGGAGGAAAGGCTGTATTATCCTTCAAGAAAATGTATTTTGGCAATGCATATTATACTGATGACATGTATAAAATTAGTACGAGTGCACCCAATCTTGTTGTAAATGAAGTATCCTCTTCTGCTTACTCCTCTGTGTTATGGCATAATAGGCTGGGACATGTAAATTATAGAAAACTGTCCAGCATGGAGAAGTTAGGATTACTTCCAAAATGTGGGGGTAACAAACCTGAGAAGTGTGAAGTTTGCGCGCAAGCAAAGCTGACAAGGAAGCCATTTTCAAGTGTTACGAGGAGCACCAACCTGTTAGATCTGATTCATTCAGATACTTGTGACTTCAAAAGCTTCATCACTCGTGGCGGCAAGAAGTACTTCATCACCTTCATCGACGACCATTCTCGCTTCTGCCACGTTTACCTGCTGAAATCTAAAGATGAAGCCTTCAGCAAATTTGTCGAGTTTCGGACTTGAGTAGAGAAGCAGCTTGGACTGCAGGTGAAAAGACTCAGGAGCGACAGAGGAGGAGAATACCGATCCAAGGAATCGGAAGCATACTTCAAGGAGCATGGAATCATTACAGAAACTACTGCTCCGTATTCTCCGCAATCTAACGGGATTGCAGAAAGGAAGAATCGCACATTGACCGAGATGGTGAATTCGATGTTGATCACATCTGGTCTACCTACCTTCTATTGGGGAGAGGCTTTGTTGATGGCTAACTGGATTTTGAACAGAGTATCCTACTCCAAAACTGATAATACTCCTCATCAGTTATGGTTGGGATATCCAGATTCTTTGGATAATCTCAAAGTGTGGGGTGTCTCGCATATGTTTGAATACCAGATATCAGAAGGCCTAAGCTCGGACCAAAGGCAAACAAATGTGTATTTCTTGGCTTTGCTGGAGATAGCAATGCGTGCAGGTTCCTGGACCTTGGAACCAACTCCATCATTGAAGCTCGGGATGCAGAATTCTTTGAGGATAAGTTTATCAAACATAAAGGCTTATTGCTCAAAGATGTAGCAGAGAATGCTAGTACATCAGATGCACAAGAGGAGTCAGTCAATGATGAAGGAGTTATCGAACCATCTTCCAAACGCGTTAGAAGACAAAAAGATTTTGGAGATGACTTCATCACCTATAATGTGGAAGGAGATCCACAGACTTTT